AAGGAAAATATATATACATAGTATCAAGAACACAGACAATACATAAAAATGGAGATAGGTTTAAGATGATGCATGAATCATAAAAAGATGAGAACAAAGACCTCCTTCCTTCGCCCTTTCTCTCTAATATATATATATATATATATATATATATATACATATATGGTCTGAAATGTTCATGAAGAACTGGTAGTAAAGCTATAAAATCTTGCTTGGATCAATTATTAATCTTCTTATTGATAACTACACTGTTTATTTCGATGTAAACTGTCAATAATTTTTTAAGGTTATCTGGTGTCTTACTCATGTCGTCTAAGACCTCTTCTAATTGTATTCACAGTGTCTCTTCAGGACGTGGTCTTCATAACTCTGCAGGACTTCCTATTCCATTGGTAGTAAAAAAAAAAAGTAACGTTTGTCTTTTGCCATACCCTATTCCGCTATCCATTTATAGAAGCTCCCTCTCTCGGTGGACCGCTTCTTTTACCTTCCTCATTTGGCTTCGGCATATATTGTCAAATTGTCCAGAACTTTCTACCTCACTATACTTTCCCAGATGTTGCCACTGTCTCTTTCTAATTTTGAGTATTAATGTCCTTTTGTTCTGTTTTTAACTCATTTTACATTTAATGTCGATATTTTATATTTTAATTGTGAAGTTTTGTTTTCTTTTATGCTTGACGTATTATATCTTGTTTTATATTCATATACATTCTTTAGAAATAAATCGGCAACATAAAGAAATTTGGCCGTAAGAAAATTGTTTTGTTACTTTATATATGAATATGTTTCTTTCCCCATCATAGTTTTTCTTCATTGTTTCTTTCTTGAGATATCATAAGAGTAATAATTGGTGGCTTCCACTGAACAGAAAGTGACAGAAAGTCTCTTTCATTGGTTTTCCTTAAACATTTTCTTTTATCCAACTTTCTTTTGTTAGAATATTTTCAAGAAACAAAGACCAAAATAACTTGTGTACAGTGCCATAGTTATGTCTGTGAAGATAGGGATGCCATTGAGAATCGTATAATAAGAAAATGCAGAAAGTTACCCCGAAGAGGGTGAAAAATAATTGATAAGGGCTAGGGTTGAAATGCAGATCGATTAGGATGTGTGCAGTACGACTGGAAACTCGTGTTTCACAAACCTGAATCTGTATATTTTTAAAATCATTTTACCACAAGCAAGGCAATAAAGACACTAAGACGCAAGGGGTTGATGAGTTTTAGAGATTATTAGAAAAAATATAATATTAAGTAGCGAGGAAAATAAAAGAACACGAATTAAGAAGACAAAAAGTAACAAATTGATCATGCATTTAAATTTTTGAAGATCAAAGTTGAGAAATAAGAATCCGGAAGAGAGTGCAAGAAGAAAAATGTTTTACTTAAGAAATTTCGGCTGCATGTAGCCATTTCAACTGTAAAATGATGAGACCTTGCCGCCAATCTAGTACTGCACTTAAATCCATAAAGTTTAGGTAGCAAAGTGGAAAGTTCATCAGAACAATTACCAGAAAAGTACTTATAGCAGAAGGAAGCTATGTTACGGTGGTGGGATATTAACGGAAGTGGGGATGTCAGAGGTCAAGAGCAGTTATATTGCAGATTCTTCATTGGATTCTATCTAGAATATCTAAACATATAGCAGAAACACCAGACCAGATATGAAAGCAATGTTGAAAGAAAGGAGGAATGGTAAACCTATAAATATGTAAAATAGATTCTGACAAGAACAATTGTCTAGCATGACAGAGGTAACCAACTTCCCTAGGCACAGACTTAGAAATTGTATTATTAAAATTATTAACAAATTATTTAATTAACAAAATTTATAGATCACTTTACAATAATAATAATAATAATAAGTGATAAATATCCAGAAACGATTGATCATCTTGTATCAGGTTGCACGATATTGGCACCCACTGAATATAAAACCCGGCATGACAGAGTAGGCCAATATCTGCACTGTAAAATCTGCAACTTCTACGGGAAGGAAACTGAAAGAAAATGGTATGAACACCACCCAGATCCGGTTACGGAGATAGGACCTGTTAGAATTCTATGGGACTACACAATACACACTGACAGAACAATCAAAGCCAACCGCCCAGATATTGTTATTAAAGACCACAAACAAAAACGGTGCCTCCTTATTGATATGGCAGTCCCTGCTAACTGCAATGTATCTTTGAAGATATTCAAAAAGTTGTCAAAATACAAGGACCTTGAAATAGAAATCTCGAAAATGTGGCATATGGGAACATCAACAATCCCTGTTGTAGTTGGAGCCCTAGGATTGGTTGGAAAAGATTGCAATAGTGTAATTGAAGGGATTCCTGGAAGTACATGCCTCAAGGAGATACAAAAAATTGTTCTGACAAGTACAGCCCACACTTTACCAAGGGCTTTATCTATGTAATTTTTTTTTTGTCAGTGGAAAGTCTCATGATGCCATTTCTAACCTTCGGTCCCTGGGCGGGACCCGGAAATAAATGTGTAAACGCCAGAAATCAAAGAAAATAAAAATAATAATAATAGGCGATATAGACAGAACAAGTACACATCATGGATTTACATTGCAGGAAGGTTTTATTATTCTATAAATTATCAAATAAAAACTGGCTAAATTGCAGAATATGTGACAAATATACAGAAACAATTGACCACCTTATATCAGGTTGTACAGCATTAATATATATATAACATTCGATCTGAAAACATTAGCCAATATCTTCACTGGAAAATCTTTTATGGGAAGAAAACTGCAAGTAATTGGTATGAACACCATCTAGACCTGGTTACAGACACGGAGTTGTAAAGATTTTATGGGACTTTATGAGGCACAGACAGAACAATCAAAACTAATCGTCCATACATCGTGATCAAAGACGACAAAAACAGAATGTGCTTTATTAACTGATATGACAGTTTTTGCAGACTCTAATGTTGCTTTTTGAAGATCTTCAAACAAACTATCAAAATGCAAGGATAGTGATGAGGTAATGAAAACAAATATAGCACCTGAAAACATCAATAATTACAGTTGCAGCTGGTGGCCTCTGTTTAATTAGAAAAGTTCTGATAGGCGCATTGAAGGACTCACTTGTAGCACTTACCTTAAATTAATACAAATTTTGTTAACTGAAGTACAGTTTGCACCCTTTGCTGGGCGTCATCTGTGAAAAATGGGCATTTTTAGGTTGTTGTTTTTTTTCCTAAATATGCAGTGGAAAATATTATGATGCATTTCTCTCCATAGATTCCTGGTTGGGACATAAGAGAGGTAAGAGCAAGAAATTGGTATGAACACCATCCAGACCAAGTTACGGAGAAAGGACTTCATAATACATTTGGACAGAATAATAAAGCTAATCGTGATTAGAGACCGCAGAGAGAAAAAAAAGCCTCTTTATTTATATGGCAGTCCCTGCAGACTGCAATGTATCTTTGAGGATCTTCGAAAAAGCGATAAAAATACAAGGACCTTGAAATCGAAATATCAAAAATGTGGCACATGGACATTAACAATTCCATTTGTAGTTGGATCCGTCGGATTGATTAGAAGAGGTTCCCATAGAGACATTGAAGGGATTCCTGGAAGCCCATGCCTTAAAGAAATACAAAAAATTGTTCTCGCAATTACAGCCCACACCTTACGAAGGGATTTATCTATGTAAAATATGTGTGATTATTTTTTCAAAATTGTTCAGTGGAAAATGTCATGGTGATATTTCTGACCTTAGGTCTCTGGTCGGGACCCGGAAAGAAATGAGTACACACCAGAAATCAAAGGAAATAATAATAATAATAATAATAGCAGTAGTAGTAGTAGTAGTAGTAGTAGAAGAAGAAGAAGAAGAAGAAGAAGAAGAAGTTTAACAAATGCCTTAATCCTAAAACAATCATGAATCTACTGTGATCTTAACTGATTGGAGATGTTCACGTATGTATGTTTTGTTCTGGAGAATAATGGCTACCACCAACATCCGGTTCACTAGCACATATTTGCTGACCAGTTGTCTGAGTTTAGTAAGTTGTATTTTAAGTTTGAAGGAAGAGGCAGTACAAGTAGTTTGAGTGTAAAATCTATATATTCGAGAAAAACCTCATTCGGAAGCCGTCTGGGTCGACTAGGTTCCATCTGCAAGGTTATGAGCTGCTTTTATCAAAAACTGTAACCATATCGCGAACATTTGGCTGTGATATATATGAAAAAAATCTAATCAAATTGGGTTTCATGATGGTTATATTGGATTTTTACACGAATGTCCCTCTGTTAGCTTGCTGCTCTCTCTTACGCAATAATTGTAATAATAATAAAACATACCGCAGGAGAATTCAAAATGATTTAGGACATGAGAATGACACTTGTACCCATTCTCGCTGCAGTGCATGGAAAATTTTTAAAGAAAAAAAAAAAGTAAAGGAAAAAACAGTGTAACATGTTTTATGAATTGGAAGTCTGTGAAAGAATCGAAGTCATGTAAAAGACAACATTTTAAAAAAATGAGCTAGAATCCTGAAGCTAATCCTGGAATATGGAAGAGATATGTGGGACAGTTAATCCGCAGTGAAAATCGCGTGTCACTACTGACAGGAAAATAGAACGAGAAAGAATTTATTAAAAGGAAAATCAGTCATATTTTCCGGCCTTTTCAAATAAAAAAGAGCATTTAATTCAGGTCAGAAGACAATATTAAAACATTAAAAATATTTTTTCATTCATATAACAAAATGTCGTGGTTCAAGTTCATTTTTTTTTACATTTACATTCGCTCTATACATGGTCCCGGGCCACGGGAGGTTTACAGAGGAAGAGGTATAGTTTATGTGAATATATGGAGAAGATAACGGTTAACTCTAGATTTGAACAGGTTAAGAGTGTAGTAATCGGGGAAACAAGCTTTTGGGAGTTGGTTCCACAGAGCAGTGATTCGTGGGAAGAAGCACCTCGAGCGGAACCTCCATCTCACCAAAGAGAATGAGTATTGTTCGCTACATAGATAGATAGATAAATTGATAGATAGATAGATAGATAGATAGATAAAAACAATGTATAGAGAAGGAATATGTATATACATACTATCAAAAACACACACACGATGCATACAAATGGAGATAGGTTTAAGAAAATACAGGGTCATAAAAGATAGAAAAAGTCCTCCTTCCTTTGCCCTTACTCTGTAATATATATATATATATATATATATATATATATATATATATATATATATATATATATTTAATGAAAAAAACAGACCACTTTAAGGTACCATTACAATAATTTATTTCACCAAAATCCTTTTAAAGGACTCCGGATCATCAGGTAACAATTCCAACAACGAAATGAAAGGAAAAATGGGATTAGAAATTGATGGGTAGTGTAATTTTTGTAATTTAACAGGGAGGGTGAGAGTTGTAGTTAAAGAGACAAGGTAGAGTATAGGGAGGGGTTAATTTCATATCTCTCTTAAGCATGCTTTATATTAGTACAAAAATGGACAATATTAAAATTTAAAATTCACCCTCAGCGTTGCGACCGCACGTTCAAAAAAGTTCTTATAATTAACAATAACTCATTTCTAAAAACATATTTGGGATTACATCCATTTTTTCGTTGTCCTGTTATTAACTGGATGTAAAAAACAAATTTATTTCCATTCCTGATGATGTCTGTATGCACAGATGAAAGCTTGTAAAAAATTTAAAAATAAAACACTTCTGCAACAGGAATCATAACATTCATCTACAGGTTCGGGGTTAATGTAATTTATTAAAATTGTTTGCGAAGATGTATTCTCGCCATTTATATCATTAACTTCTATATCTGTTTTTTGTATGAATGATTCATGTAATATATATATATATATATATATATATATATATATATATATATATATATATATATATATATATATATATATATAAAGTGTGGGCTGAAATGTTCATAAGCTGGGCATGAAGAACTGGTACTAAAGACATAGCGGGTCTTAGTCGTGAATGTAAGTATTAGTGAAACTAAGGAATGTAATCCATCTGAACACTTTCCATGAAAATAGCAATAGTGGTTCGCGACGTTTCGTCTGTAAGAAACGGGTTGTAAGGTGGAAAATAATCTGTCACCTGTAAGGACTACCTGGAGATGCGTTTGAACTCTATCGAAACAGAAAAGACTGAGCAGCTCCTTCCCATATACGTCCCAAATATTCCAACTGTGTACTGATCCGGCTCTTGTAAATATACAGGAGAGCATGAAAAGCCAGGTACTTACTAGAACGGTAGAGAGAACTGAGCATTTTTTCCGGTATCTTTAGCAATCTATTGGACGTGCGAGTTCCACTTGAGATCTGGGTTGAGTTTAAGTCCAAAGAGTCGAGGGGTCTCCCTGGGGTATCATCCGTTCATCATCCTGAATGTTGATCCTTCTGCGTTAGATCGGCGATACTGATTAAGTTAATAAATAAATATGAATGCTAGAAAAAATGATGAACGGATGGTCCATGGCTCCTTGCGCACTTCTATACAACCCAGAAAAAGTAGAATTGGCGGGGAAATATGAAGATATTATCATTAGAATTTAATTATATTTTCGAATTTGGATTCATTGGAAATCAGCCAGAATAATAAGAAAAAAATGTTGGAATACCACTGATGATCAACTATCAAATGTAATCTGCTAAAACAGAATAAATTATTAAAATAACCTGAAGACGTGATATGCTTCCTCCTGACGACAAAATTACTAAAAATCAGCGAAAACACCAAGTCAAGTCATAAATGCAAAATTTGAATCAGAACCCGTCTGATGAAAACTAGTATACTGAAGAATTTTGAATATCTACATTTCAAATAAAATAATTAATCTGATAATATGTAACTAATACTGACATCTGTAATCTTTAAAATTATGTCTTCTAGTTACTCTTTCACTTTTATCGGAATCCGCAAGGATTTTATTAATACTGTCGTCTAGAAGGGCTTACATCAATCCTCCAAGTTAAAAAAATAGCATTCGATGATATTTTGACATTGGTAATACTACTGTCAAGCTGGAGTTATATCGTTCTTCCTAGAAATTCTAGTAATCACCTCACTGGTGTGATTTCGTAATGTGTTCTTCTGGAAATATTCTAGATAGTCTATCCTTCAGCTCAATATTTTTTTCTAATCATGACACCTCAAGTAAGGCAATAAAGCCACTAAGAAGTAAGGTGTTACTGAGTGTGAGAGAATATGCGGAAAAGAAAACGTTATGAAAGGTGTGAGAACAATAAAAGAAAAAGAATTAAGAAGACAAAAGATAACAGTTGGCATTGCATTTAAATTTTCGAAGATGAAAGTTGACTGGGAAGCAATAACCGGAAGAGAATTCCACGAGCAAGAAGTGTGAGGGGAAGGAACTGCTAGCATAGAACTTACAGATATGTATAAAAAAAGGGTCAAAGAAACTCTCGTTTTGGATGGTTTAATATCAAGAAGAAAAAGAAACTGAGGAAAAAGAAGAGGGGGAGGAGGGGGGAGAAGAAGAAAAAAGAAAGAAGGAAAGAAAAATATGAATAAATGAAGACGATGTGAGAAGAGGAGGAACAGAGCAGGAAGAAGACGAAAATAAGAAAAATACGACGAAAGAAGAAAAAAATGAAAACAAAAGAGGAGGGGGAGTGGAGGAAGAAGAAGAAGAAGAAGAAGAAGAAGAAGAAGAAGAAGAAGAAGAAGAAGAAATAGAGAAGGAAAGAAAAAAAAATAAATGAAGACGATGTGAGAAGAGGAGGAATAGAGCTGGAAGTAGACGAAAATAAGAAAATACGACGAAAGAAGAAAAAAATGAAGAGGAGGAGGAGGAAGAGGGGGAGAAGGAGTAGGAGGAGGAAAGATAAAAATAAGACTGCTTAAACAGAAGAAGATGAAAAAGAGGAGAATGAACGCTAAAAATAGGACTGTGCAAACTGAAGAAAGAAAGAAAGAAAGAAAGAAAGAAAGAAAGAAAGAAAGAAAGAAAGAAAAGTAAAAATAAATGAAGACGAAAGAAGAGGAGGAAGAAGGGAAGGAGAAGTAGAAAAGAAAAAAAAATAGAAGTAAATGTAGGAGGCAAAAATATGAAAAATAAGATGACGACGAAAGAAGAATACAAAAGAAAAAAAGGAACGGTAAAAATAAAACTGTGTCAGAAGAAGAAGAAGAAGAAGAAGAAGAAGAAGAAAGAAGAAGAAAAAGCACAAAAAAATAGTTACTGAACTAGTGTTCTTTGTTAAAACGGGAAAATCAGCACAATGTAAAAAAAAAAAAAAAAATTCGCTACAAGTATTTAGCTGCTATCGTTTTAGTGCTAAAATATTTAGATGATTCATAATTTAAAATGTCCCCGCGATCGGTTTTGCTGAAATTCTGAAATTTTGTCACTGTCATGTCAAGATCGTAGTCAGAGTAGGCTTTAGTATATGAACGAATTATTCCATCCGTATGACGAATCTGAAATAACAAAAAAAAAAAAAAACAAAAAAAACAATTATCAGTTACACCACCTGTCAAGGATGACAGATGAAGAACAATACAATCATTATTTATAATAATTCCTTTCCGTTCACAAAATGTTTCGTTTTCTTTCATTCTTTGTCTCCTTCCAGAATGAACACTTCCGCACCTTCTTCAACATCAGCCTCTTCCCCTATTATTATTATTATTATTATTATTATTCTCTTTTAAACGACAAAAATAGAGAAGTGCCGACAATTATCTCTGTTTCGGCTTTGAAGAGCGGAAACGAACCACGTTTCCTTGATCACTTGATCGATTAGATCCGTTATAATTGAAATTTCTTTATTCTCCGTATTTCTGTTGCATTTTTAATACTCAAATAATATCTTTTAGTCATCCACTCATTTTCCTGTTCTAACTTAAAAAAAAAAAACAAAAAAAACCAAAAAAAAACACTTCTTACGTGAAAATTAATTCACTAAAATTCATTGATCGTATGATTAGGTCTTCTTTCCCGAATTAGAAATGCTATTATTATTATTATTATTATTATTGCTAGCATTCCATGCTTTAACAACGTATCGAAATGCGAAAATCCTTCTATAAGCACATACAAAGATAGATCATTTTCACACATTCATACGGTTGAATACGAAATATATAATCTCGATAAAGCAGACTAATAGTACGCAAGTGAGTGACAAAATGGAAGACAAATTCGATGTTATTCATTTCGTCTTTCAAAAGAACTTTTTTTCAGAATAGCCTTTTTATCGGTGGAAACAATCGTAGGGGAATGAACTAATTACAACAAATATCTGCTATAACTCTTGAATCGGAGAAATGCTGAAAATCTAATTTAGTTTTTAATTTTTAGGTGCACAACCTAGCCGAATACATTCAGCATTTTACAGCTGTTTTTTCTATTGTCTTTAAATATCGCACATGTTAATATTAGATGTTTGGTAAGAAAGGCCATATGCTGTATAATCCTGAACACACATTTACGGTTGCATACTCAGAAACCAATGCACTTTCTATATATTTTTGTTCTAATGAATTAGTTTCTATTTTTGATTAAAACTGTGAAATTATGATCAGAATTATTACGATAAACAACTATATCAAGATTTTTGAATGCCTATAGACGTTCAAAGAATTAGGCCTCTTTCTGAGCGCAACCGTTAATCGTGACTGGAAAAAAAGTTATTAAGAAAATCGAAATAAGTTTTCGTATCTAATCGCTTCAGAAGATTATTTTACTTCACATAGATCTTGCGATTTATTTATTTTGAATCTTGACCAGTTCCAACTCGATGCCTGTTGGGCTGTGGTCTGGAGACGATGTGAAGAAAACTATAGGTTCCGGCCATTGATGCCCATCTTCAAAAGGAAGGAAACATTTGACCAGCCAAGCAATCCACGGAACCCGGCATCAAAAGGTAGCACATGACATGTGTATCTGTTTTCCACGCAATCAAGTTCTACGACGATAAAAAATATCAGTAAAAATTTCCGTTATCGTTAAATATTTGAGCTTAACAACTTTAATAAAATATTGCAATAAAAATAATAAATATGGATGCTGGTCGTTATTTTATGAACTGCGGAGAAATGAAAACATTTAAAATTGATAACTTTTTTTAATTTCATTGAAACAGCCGATAAACATTTCTATCATCATTTCATTCTCACTGAAATAATGTAGTGCATTTTCCCCTCTTTCCCGTCCTAAGTCTGACGGTAAACTTTATCCAACAGGAAGGCCTCTGATCAGGAAGTTTTGAGGAGCGTGGAACTACCTCATAATTGCTGATGTTCCCAGGTCCATCCTGGCCAGGGGTGGTAGCAGCTGTTAGAGTCCGAGCTATGGGCAAATAGGTGACACCCAAATTGGGTTCAAAACACTATGAAAGTGTAAAAATAGGTTATAATACATACCAGAAATACTTTGTAAAAATTATTACCAGCAATACTTTTTTAGAAAAAAAAAAAAAGATATTACCAACTATAGTTTATTACGAAAGAAAATATTACCAGCAATCAAAAATTTGTCGGCATTAAATAACCCATTGAGGTTGATATGCCGTAAAACTAAAGAAACCACACCAAAAAAATTCCCCTTTTTCCATGTATCAAAACGGTATAGTCCATTACTTATGAGGTATTGACAAGAGACGCTACATACTTTTATCTTTATTTATTTCTTTATTTTTTTCGAACCAATTTCCTGTTTTTCGAATAATAATTTAATCGGATCGGTGATGATGATCTGCATACATTGTTACAAATGACATGAGATGTTTCCTAGGTAGATCATTAATAAAAGACAGAAAGAGGATAATACCAAGACAACTGGCCATTAAAAACGAACTTTACGGACCTGCCTATGAGAAAAGGACTCGATAATTGCATAGACTCACCCAAAGAATGTGTGCAGCAAACCCCTCTGCTAAATATTGCACCACAAGAAGTAGAATGAAAAGAGTATCACAAATTATTTGCAATTAAACTGAAAAGACTACGAGAAGCCTGTCTAAAGCTATGGCTCTCGTGTTAAAACTACCATCGAGCGTTTAACTGATTCTGTTGAACCATCAGTAACCATCCTCGTGGAGGAAAATAAATACTGTTTGCCGTTTGGGGATGTTTCAAGGGAGATGAGCAACTATTTCCTTTTGAGAATAAACTCAAAGAATTTACCAATGCCAACGAGTAGGTTGAGGATCCTATACGGCAACGGGATGGAACGAACTCCAGAATACTTGAAAACAGGGCGAATAGCTGTGAAATTCTACAGATTTAGGAAACATTTCACATTCAGGTAGCAGTTATAGAATTTTTTTCGAGATTAGAAATAACTCAAAGCTTTTCTTCTTTTGTACAACATCATGGTTTTATTTTAGTATCCTTCGTCGGGCCAATTCTTTTTTTTGGGTGGCGGGGGTGTCTGTAAACTTCCTGAGTTGAGATAATTTTATCACAAAGCAAGTTATCTGTGAGAGGATAAAGATAGTTTGATTTATTCGAATTTTCAAGTTCATCAATACTTTGCAGGTTATTTAAAAGCAAGAAAATATTTTTGGATTGTAAGAATTTTTAGGATATAATAATGATTCAATGATACAAATCTTATTATTTAACCCATAGCTTGGAGGGGATATGTTGATTTAATGATTATTTTTTTCTACGGCCTCTCAACTCTTGGAAGTCTATTTAAAAGCAAAAGATATTTTTTAAATTGCAAGAAATCATTTAAGATAATAATGATTTAGTGATACAAATCTTATTAATTAACACATGGCTTGTGGGGGAATGTTGGTTTTATGATAAATTTGTTTTCTACGTCTTACCAACCCTTTCCAGGGTATTTAAAGCCAGAAAATATTTTTAGATTTAAGAATTGTTTGGGAGATAATAATAGTATAGTGATACAAGTTTTACTAATTAACCCATAGTTGAGGGGAGAAGAAGTAGATTCATACATCCCCTCCCAAAGATATAAGCACATAAACGAATATGATGAACATGGCTGGAATTTGAACCCGGCTCTTCGATTAAAAATTTCGAACCCTTATACATTACACCACCTGCTCATCCAAGCTTCAAAAACTATTTCCAAGCAGTCACCTATCTAGGTCCTGATCAGTCCTGATCGACTTTTTTTTTTAACTTTGCGGATCGTAAGGGAATCGCTGTTTCTACATGATGTGTGTGTGTGTGTGTGGGGGGTAAGCATTTCACCCCTAGCAAGGCGAGAAGCCACTAGCACGCAAGGGGTTACAGAGGATTTGGAGCGAGAGCAGATAGTAATGATAGAGGAAAGGATGAGGAGAAGGATAGTGGACAGATCAAGGTAACTGGAGATGTCGATTGACATTACTTTTGAATAGTTGGAGATTATAGCTATCAGGGAAACAGGAAGAGGGAAGGGAGTCCCACAGGCGAGAGGTGCGAGATATGAAGCTACTGGAGAAGAAGAGGCGGCTACATTTAACAGTTTCAACAGTGAAAGGGTGA